TTGCAACATTTTAAAAAGGAAAACAAAATTGGAAAGTTTAAATAAAACGAAAATATTTCTATGAATTATTTATATTCAAATACAAATTATAAACAATTTTTTTCATTTAAAATACTGTACACATACAGATTTTTTTGTTGATATGGCAACCTGTGATATGGAGAACAATAAAATTACAAAATAAAGCCGCCATAATTTTCATTATCTTATACAATAATTATTTACTGCTTATTTACACGAAATTAAAGAAAGGGGGATCGGTGAATAAGACGTGGACACACTCGAAAACAAGATGAGAAAATCTTCACAGAAGATTGGAAGTCCAAAGGAAAGGAAATCATAATATTTATATATATATAAATATATATAAAAAAAAAAACAAAACAAAAAAAATTGCGCCTAACTTCACAAGATTTTCAAAATCGACAGGATTCGAAGGAAGATCATCTTTCGTTATTTATGTTTTCTGTTTGTTGTTTGGTAGAAGTTTGGGAGTATGCTGTAGGGTTGGTTGTTGGTGGTGGATTCAGAGCAGGAGAGAAAATATATAAATTTAAAACATTTATAAAATTAAACACTAAAATTAGAGATCAAAAATTCATTGCCGCATCATGTTTCCTTTTCGTTCTTTTTTTTTTGTAGTTTTCGCTAAGAGAAAATAAAATTGCACCCAAAATTAAAATAAAAATTATATAATTAAAATAATAAATTATTCGGAAAAACTTAAAGATCTACATGAAAAAAAAAATATAATATATATATATAACACAATAACTGCTGCTGCTGCCATCTCGTGAACACAAATTAACTTACGAAAAAAATAATAATAAAATAAACTAAAAATATTTAATAAAAAAAAAATACTGGGTATTCGCTTAAATAAAATCTGCTCGTTTTTCCTTCACTCTGGTATATATAATAAATCTAATTTATATAATAAAAATCTATCTATTAAAAATCACATTATAAATAGAGCAAAAATTTAAAATTTTTGTTTTTTCTTTACTTTTTTTTTTGAAAGAAAAAGTTTCTATATATATATATATATATTTCACTATATATATTTATATATGTAAAATTGCCAATGAATTGTTGTCTTCTTAATAGGTGAATTCGTTTTGCAAGAAAACCGAGACAGTTTCTTCGAATTCCTTCAGTAAGAAGAGATTGCGATATGTGTTTTAATTAAAATTTTCGTTTCTTTTATGTAGTAATAATAATAAATCTTTTGTTTTGTGTCTATGTACAACTTAATTAATTAAAAACTAAAAGTACGATGCGCCAAAAAGTTGATTAATTGAAGAAAAAAAAATACTAAAAAAAAAACAAACTCTTAAACAATAGCTAATGTACTTAAGAAAACAAAAAATAATAATATAGAATAGAAGTCGGAGGGGGCGGGGGTTGTATGAATTTGTGTCGTTTCTATCAGTTATATTACGAAATATAAATTGATACCTGTTTGTTTTCTTCTTTGTTTTGTTTCTGTTTACAGCTTTCAGTTAGGAAAGAAAAACTTTACGAAGGATTTCCTAATTTAAATATTTTTTTTTTCATATAATATAATACTATATAAGTGTTTTTAGGCACTGCGTGTTTTCAGGCAGGTAGGGAGAGAGTCGATCGATTCGAAATTTCCCACCAAAACGTGTATGTTTTCATAGTCGAAAATTAAAAATTCCCCAAAAGTCTCCCCACACAAATTTGGAGCTCATACGATTTTTGTTGTTCTTCTTGTTGTAGCTGCTGTTCTTCTGCTTCTTCTTCATCATCTTCTTTCAGTTATTCGTCTTCCTCTCTTTGCTCTTTTTTTTATCTCTCTTTCATTCTTTCTCTCTTTGTTTTTTTTTTTAAATTTTATTTGAAGAAACATAAACTAATCTTTCACTAGCCTGTAAATATGATGCTCGCCTCTCTCCGACGTCGACACTTCAAATACGTACGCTGTACATAGAAGGGTCTCTTGCGTGTCTCTATTACTCACAACCTGTTAACAAAAAGAAAGCATTACACACATGATATGACGCATTTTCAATTTGCGTTACGACAATAAAATAAACAAAATTTGTCTTCTTCATTGTTACAACAATGTAACATTTATATTCAACCGTTTAGACAAATCATTGTTCGTTAACTACCATGAATTTATTGGCTGTAAAACTTAATGAACAATTGGCGATGATCAAACTTCAAATTAGTTGACTGTTTTACGATTTTCTTGTATTTTATTCAAAATTAATAAGCAACTAAAATTTTATTATCCGTTACACTCATCAATGGAATTATCTAATATTTTAATAACGAGAAAAATGTTACTATTTCCTTTAATTATGTCTCAACTTCTATCAAAAGTGACATATATTGTTTACTGCTTTTTATCCTGAACACATCTAGCAACAAATTTGAATAGATATGTCAAAATGTTTTGAATCAAAAATATAAGTGAATAATGAAAGAACATTAATGGAACAAAAGAAATATGCAACAATGGCTAATATTTCATTCAAATGTAATCAACTATTAATGATATCTAAAGTAATTTTCTATCAAAAGGAATATAATAGAGAATGGGTACATTGAAATTATAGTGTTAGTAGTTTGTACATATATTCATACATCCAATTTATATCTTTTATAAATTCGGGTTGACATGTAATACATCTCTAATTGACAGATAAGTTATCATTTTATTAAAGACATATTTTTTCTGTTAAAGATTTTTTTTAAGATTTGAGCTTTCTTCATTGCTTTCTTCATTATTGGGTAATTTTTGCGATCTCAGCAAATCAGTGATTCTCAACCTCTTTACCACGTGATCCAACATATTTGTTTGATCATGAACTGTAACCCAATTGTTATAACTATTTCACAGCTTTGACAAAAGGTGACAGCTGTCATTTTGCAATTTTGGGCTGAGAAACGCTGGTCTATATGATAATATACATACAATTTGTATTTGATATAATTGCATTCAAAGGTCTATACAAATGTTACAATACTTTTTTTTCTCAAGTTGTAAATAATAAATGTATGTCATTTTATTAAAGACATATTTTTATTGTAAAAGATTTTTTTTACGATTTGAGCTTTTTAACCATCTCATCATATCAGCGTTTCTCAACCTCTTTACCAAGTGATTTAACTTATTTCTTTGTTATTGACCTGTAAACCAATTGCTATAAGTATTTCACAGTTTTGACACAAGGTGACAGTTGTCATTTTATAATTATGGTCTAAGAAACGTTGGTCTATATGATAATATAGATACAATTTGTATTTGTTATAATTGCATTGAAAGGTGACAGCTGTCATTTTACAATTATGGTTTGAGAAACGCTGGTCTATATGATAATATAGATAAAATTTGGATTTGATATAATTGCATTCAAAGGTCGGCTTTGATACAAGGTGACAGCTGTCAATTTGCAATCTTGGGTTGAGAAACGCTGGTCCATATGATAATATACTTAAAATTTATATTTGATATAATTGTATCGTGTTGCAAATAATAAAGGCATGTAATAATTACCTGTAGTATTGTGAAGTTTTCCAGTACGCTGTTCATCATATATTTCTCAGGCAAGTGTTTCAGTTTGTGGATGAAGTTGATCATGTATTCGCACATGGGTGATCTGTGGATTCGATAAACGAACCGGCCGTTCTCGTATCGCGCGTACTCCGTTTCAACTTTTTCCACGACCTGCTTCCCGAACGAACAGACCTTCGTACTGCAGGTTATCGTCATGTTCTCATTACTTTCGTATCTGCAATCAAGAGTTAAAACGTGGTGTCAACAGACGGAACAGAAGATTGGTAAATGAACGTACGAGGAGGTAACACCGTAGAAAGCACCGGCTTCGTCCTGTATGCTGCTGTTCAGATCCGCCCAAAATTTGACGAGGAAGAAGGCGTTTTGGGGACCCTTATCATATAGCTCTTTGAGGCCGCCCTTTTTCTCCGGAAATTTGTCGTAGATCTGCCGTACATCGACAGCCTAATAAATCACAAAAAAAAAAGAAATTAGTAAACTAAATGGGCTTCATCTTTCGGGGAAAAGTTACCTCTAATAAGGGATCCGAGTAGGTTATGGCAGGTCCTCCTATGTGTACGAACAGGTGTCTGGGGTACTGAAAACGATCAAATTGAATTAGTTAAATTTAATTCCAATAAATTGTTGGGTTCAATTCACATTTACCGCTTCTTCTCTGTTCTGGTTTTCCATGAAGGCAGAGAATTCGACGAGCCTGAGCTTGTGGGTGGCGATCGCCTTGCCCTCCCAAGGTGGCGGGGGCGGCGCTTGTAAAGGTCCCACCTCCCCGCTGGACACGGCCGTCGCCGGTTTACCACCAGGATACGATGCTTGTGTGAAAGGTTTGACACTGCAAAGAAATCACAATTAGCACATCAAACTTACAAATAAATTAAGAAAGAAAACTCACTCTTGCGACGTGCCCGGCTGTAATCCTGGCTGCCAGAATTGCTAAAACAAACAGAAACATAATTGAATAAATAAAAATGAGATTATAGTAAATCCTATAAACATCAAAATAGATACCAAAAAGAAACCTTTCAAGGCAAGCGCGCGCTTTTTTTTTTTGCTGCAAACAATTCACGTCATACTTTTTCCTACTCCTCGACCAATCAGAAAAATTTGGAATATTTTTGATTGGAGGAATCGTAATATAAAACATGTAATCATAAACTTTAAATTGCTTGCGTCCATTTTTAAGTCTTATCTTTAATGTGGACACGCATCATCAATTAACTGACATTTAAGTACTTTTGATGGTAACGGGGATTTTTAGCTAAAGCGGATGGAAGCTTCAACATAATGTATATATGGCCAGCAGCAACACACAGCAAGCGAAAATTATAATTCTGTCTGTTTATTGCATAAAATCAACCTAGAAAACACACCAAACAGCGACGATCTATTTGCTTCGGTTTTTGGGGATTTCGGTTTTAGTAGTTGGCAGCTCACAGGTTGCGCACTTACCGGTGGCGCGGGGGGGTACAAAGGCAACTGCTTGCTGTGCATTGGCGCGGCGGATATTATCTGTGCACTGGACATAGTGGACATCGTCTGCAGTGCCTTTTCCTTCGCTGCGTGATCCTAATCATCATCATCAACAACACAAATCAGCACAGACACACAAAACGAATTCACGGTAGACGTAGGGAGAATAATTAAAATTTTGGCCCATTGGTAACCATGGATACTTCAAATTTGGCCCGCGGGCCACGTATTGAAATTAGAAAATAAAATAAAACTGGATTTACAATTCAGAACAAAATAGATCGAAACAAAATTCATTCGTAGATTTCATAATTTCACATTTTCTTTCAAATTGTAAATATAAACAATATCAACAATTAGTATTTTAATTGACATTTTCTTCATGAATTATCCTAACGGGACATCATTAGCAAATTAACAATAATCAACATTCATTCTTAAATTCATTGCGTCTTACAGTTCAACTATATTTTCAAATAAGTCATTTCTTATAAATGTGGAAACTCTGCTATAAAAGAAACAAAATGACAGTGAAAAGCTTCAATGGTGCCACTAAATCCATTTAGGCATAAACAACGTCATACATTCTGGAGGGACGCGCGCTTAAGCTGTTGTAGAAAGAAAAAGAGAAGCTCGAAACAAAAAACAAAAACTCGGACTACTCGATTCGATTTCTTGCGAAATATAAATATTTCTTTATACAACATGTTGTATTCTGAGGGGGGCATATGGATGGGATTTCTTTTGTTTTATGTACATATAATAAAATCTTTGGACCGTATACTTACAACCTTCAATTTCGCCTGAATTTCCCGCAACTTCCTTCGCGCCAAAACCTGTATGTGCGAGCTGACTTGCTTTCTCGTCCGCGTCTTCCCCGTCCTCAGTTTGATGTACCTTGCAATTAATTCGTTCCTACCTAAAAAAGTCAACAAAGAAACAAAGATATGAAATTAATGAATAGATCGAACTCATTACGAATCTCAATTAACGATGATGATTAATGGCGATGCTTACGGTGCAACTAACGAAAATCTCATTATTGCACGGGCGAAGAATTGAATGGAACTTTCGCATGGAGAGGAAAAGGAAAGGAAATCACAAGTTTAATTAAAATATACAAAAGTGTGGATCGAAGGTCAGTCGATTCGTGATTAATAGGACCATCCAAAAATAACGCAGATTATCGAAGATGTGAACGAACGGAAAGGTAAATTTAGAGGTTTGGTTTCATTATTTTGCGCGCAAAAAATATATATATGAAATTTAACATTTGTATAGCAACGTCTGGCATAAATCCAATATTTCCATTTAACTGAATGGTAGATCAATGGAACGTTGGTTATTAGCGAAATAAATAGTACTTCAAGATCAAACGGACAACGAAACTGAAGCCTTTACATTTCCAAGAAATTTGCTTGTAAATCATTTTTCACAATATAATATTTTATACTATAAAAAACATTAACATTGAACATTAACACGATTTTGTTAACAAATTAACAAATATAATTAGTGCAAATTTTAATCACTGTATGAAATTGATAAATTTACTAATAATAAAATATGGTACAAATTGGTACATATTGTTATTAATATTAATTGAAACTTTATTACAAAATAATTTGGATTTATTTTTTTTTCAATATATAAAAATCTTAATAAATCTAATAAAAGTCATGTATCTAATAATATACAACAAATATTAAATTAAACATAATAAATCGAAACTTATTTCTTGATCTTAGAAAGTCATGGAATTGAAATATAAGTGTTTTTTTTTAAATTTGGCACATCAAACGACTTTTATAAATTGCGTCGGAAAAATGAAAGATTACTATAATGTATGAACCAATAAGTGGAATAAGTGAAAGAACATCGATATTTTCAGGATTATTGAGGTAAGTGTTATGAAAATTTGTTAAATATTAGATGTATACAAGTGAATTTTATATTTTTAAATTTTTAAGCAAAAAATCTGTAAGTTACCATTTTTGGTTACAAATTATATTTATGTTGGTAAAAATGTCTATATTTTAAATAGCGATATTCGTTTGTAAGTAATATCATACAGTTTGTAAAATAACTTTGACTTTTTCTCTCGAGTGAATTGTAAAGTAATTCACTGCGTCTACTCTTCAAACTATTTGTACTTGTTCAAGAAACTATAAGATATTTTACATATGTTTAAAATATTCGTTTGTAAGTAATGAAAAATTTGAGCAAAAGAAATCAATGATTTTTTTTTATAGCAATTGGTAACATTCAATAACATTAAGTAATACGAAATATAGGGTTAACATATAGTTTAAGTAATGTGTTATATTGGTAAATAATGTTAATATAATGATATAATGTTGATATAATTATTATTCTTAATAAAGAATGGATGAGATCAATCGCATTACTAGTTTGTATTAAACAATAATCAGAAGCTTTGGGTATTTGGAGGTGGTGATTGAATGGTGGTGTGACCAGAATAAACAATAATAGGACCTCTGTCGTCTTCATTAGCGCGGAATTTAAAAAGAGAGGAAACTGCAGGTGGGCAATAAACTGTGAAATTCGCTTTCTGTTAGCAGTGCAAAAACGGGGGGAGAAAGGGATGGAGGAGGTGGCGGTTCCTCGGGGGCGGTTTTGTAAAGAGGGTTGCCAATACGAAACACGGCAAGGACACATCTTTATTTATAATACGCGCGAGAATGGAGAGCGAACGAAGGAGGAGAAAAAAAAGGAAGGAGAAGGATGAGAGGGAGCGAGAAGGAGAATTAAGGGATCGGGCGAGGGGTGTGTTTGTGCGTTTCGGGGATGGCAGGAAGCAAGGAAGGAAAATGGGGGATTGAGAGAGGAGATCCCGGGAGGGTGGCGGTGAGGGTGGTTGTTGGGGAGGTTGGCGGATGCTGACGGGAGTGGGTGGGCGGAGGGGTGCTTTAACAGGCAGCAGCACCGAGTAGCGGCCCCGAAACTATGTCAAGAATGTGCAATTAGTGAACGAGCCGGGAGCGGGAAGAAAATATAAAGAAGGGTGGCTGTGATGCTGCTACAGCCTCTGTTGCCGCCACCGCCGCCTCCTCTGCCGCCTTCTCTTCCTCCGCCGTCGCAAACTATAAACTCCTCTCAGTTGGCGGCGGCGGCAGCGGCGGCAATGAACAACTTGCACACAGCCGCCAACGCTCACCGAACCCCCCCTTTTAGGTCCATCCTCACCACCCCCGAAACAACTTTATTCCTGGGAATATTAAAGAATAAGTTTTCGCATTAATTCCGAGACAAGCGGAGGAAAAAAAATTAATTTACAATAAACATTATTTGATATGCACCTCTGTTTTTTTTCAGGCCGTAGGGAATTTCATACTTGCAGAAAACAAAAGTGCAAAGGACAAACAAAAAATAATAGCCGTAGGGATGAAATGATGAGGGGTGAAGATGTACAATTAAAATTTAATTAATAACACATTTTTTTTTCATGTAATGCCGCGGGATTACGTAATACAGTGCGGATTATCGCCGGGCTTTAATTAATATTCGTTCGTTCATAATAAAGTTAAATTTAAATATTTTATGTTTGGATAATAAAACTTGATATGAATAAAAACAGCAAAATGTTATGATCTTCTAAAGCCTGTTTTATAATCCAGTTTCGTCTCTATAAAAGGGTAAAAAGTTTCCAAATTCAAATTGTTTTAATAAGTGCAACTTTCTTTATGAATTGTTTTTCTTTATTAATTTTCTCAGTGATTATTTCACTTGAAATTATTTAAACATTAAAATGTACAAATTTTTGCAGCAAAATGTTTACTTCAAAAGCAGAAAACTATGATGTGTCACTAGAGATTTTTATGAAATTGAAAAAAATGAAATTATTAAGCTATTATGAAAAATTATGAAAATTGTGTTTTTGTACACCAAAATTAAAAGACAAATTATACAAATATTTATAAAATAAGTAATATAACAAAATTTTTATCCATGCATATTTACATAATATAAAGTGTATGTAATCGTAACTCAAAAGTTCTTTTTAAATATTGTTGTTTGTTGCAACAGTTTTTAATTGACATTAATATAATTTGCATATAATGGAAATTTAAAAACATTTTTCCAATAAAAATGTAAAATGACAATATTTTTGATTATACTTGGACTGCAAAAACACTAAAACCTTATTAGCGAGGATCGTATAAATAACAAAACAAATATTTTCGTTTATAAAAATTATTTTTGGAAATACAGCATTATTTGAAACTTTTTTACACATCACACATAACTCGGGCAAGTATGATTAGATTGGCCTTAGGTATAACGCGTATATTTGGTTTTATAGAAATGGTGCGTTATGTAAATCGTGTTATATCAGACAAAGAAAACTTTGAATTTTCAACATATTTTTGATTGTTTGCTAAAACGTAATTCTATTATAATTTACTAATGATTTGTAAGTTGCGTTAACTTTACTTATCAAATGACATATGTATATTTGTAATAATATAATAATTCTGTTCATTAATGTGAATATTATAGTAGTGAACTAATACGAATTCTGAATACATATTATTTGATAAGGTTTTTTTGCCCGTTTCGTCCGTCGACTGGCTTTGAATTTCATCCTGGCGGAATAATAATGCTTGGCCGAAGGACAAAAAAGAAGTGGAGGCGAAGGGACAAAATAGAAGGATAAGGGTGAAGATATTGACCGTCGTTGCTCTCCGGAGTCGGGCATGTCTCGATGTCCATCGCCTGGAGATTGCGAGAGCGGACATGCGGGAGGATAGGATGAGGAGGAGGTACGGGGGTCCGAATGGATGGGACTCGACTTTAACAGCGGGAGGAAGGGAGTGAGGAAGGACGATTTTCGCGGAGGAGGACGACATATCGCGTTGACAACTGGACACATTCTCTCCCACTTGGAAGGACACAAAAGAAGGAGAGCGCAGAGCTAAAAAGATGGGAGATACAAAAGTGTGCGAAAGCGGAGGATGGAGATTGTGTAATAATACGCTGGATTCACACATTACCACCCCCGGAGCTCTTATTTCCGGTCAACCGGAAACCAATATAACGGGCTTTTCCCTTTTCCCAGCTCACCCCCCGTTTCCCGCTCACCCGACCCGGAGGCAGCAACCGCCGCCCCCTGCAGCCCGAACACCACCACCTACATCACTCCGACCGCCCCCTCCATCTGCATCTCCTCTCTGCCGTTTCCGCAATAAGCAAATCACTCACCATACATTTTTCCTTCGTCCGAGAGGATGATTTTCCGACGTCCGCAAGGCGGATAGATGGCTAGCGCCTCCTGGAAGCTCTGCTCGATGTCCGGACTCCAGACGCCCTCCGCGTCCGCCGCGGCCATATCCTTTTCGTCCTGCCATCCAAATAAAGTCATCGTTTTTAGTTAGTTAGTTAGTTAATAAGAGTGCATGCACGACGCGTAACTGTAGTAGTATTGAATGAAAGCATATTTCGCATTCCGCACTTACTACATCTCATTTATACTATACGTGTGAGACAAAAAAAACAATAACATCAACGAGGACCTTTACGCAAGAGACCCGTTGCGTCAATTTGTTTACAAATATACTCAAAAGGCGTAAAACCGATAGTCGCAGAAAAACCTAATCACCTCATCAACATCAATGATGCTCTTTCCAGACCAAAACAAACATGATGCAGCTCAGCATCAATAGCACTGCGGTAAACAGATTTTCACTTCGCGACGGCCGTAATCTCTGTGTTTATGATACCGCTCTACGGTGATAACGCCATTATCGTCTAATTTTAGCCGAGTGTCTTGTCCGAAAATGACGCCACCGGACGAAACCTCCCGCAGTCAGCTGCATCTAACATGTCAACAGTTCAAATGGAAAAGCGCATTAGATATTATTTCTATCCGTCCATCCGTCCCTGGGTTATGGACCCATTACAGAAGGTCGCAGCGAGTTCAGCTTCGAACTATCATCGAACACGTAACCGACGCCATCAAATGCAATGCCAATTGCCTCCAACTTATCAACACTCCAATTGACGCCCATACACCATTTATCGACCATTAACGATATTCAATGAACATTTCCATCACATATCGATGGTTATGTTTCAACTGTAAACCATAAAATCTTTACTTGCTGTTCAAATACTTTTATTATTATACAAACAATAATAGATTCAGTATTACACTTATAGTTCATTTTTCAATTCCGACTACTCTTGCAGCTTTTTTTTTTAATAAAAGGCGAAAGTTATAATTCAAATCTTTTAACAAATAAAAGTACTAATTATAACGTTTAACCATTATTATTCAAATAACTTCCTGTTTCTTGTAAAATCAGTGAGTGAAAAAATGTTATGCATGTTATCGAGAATCAAGAGAAAGTTATCAAAATAATACGAGAATTAATTATTAATACATTTTAAACATAATTTTGTGATATTAAATTTAGTATATATTTCGAGATCAATAAAAATGTGTTTACAACAAATTAAAAGATTTATGGAATGGCAGAAACTTACAATTTTTTTAACATATTTTAGTTTTTGTTATATATTTACTTTTTGTGTTGAAAATATATTAAATTGATATTTTGTAAACTATTTTATATTGAAGTGTTGTACTATATGAAAAAATAAATTATGAATTGCATCGTGACTGTTAAATATGTCAAACGTTTATTAAATAATAATGAAAATGAAAATATTTCCACAAAATATGGGACGTTATATAAACAACAACAAAAATAATGGATTGTGGACATTGTAAAATTAATAATGCATAAAGTAAATCAATAATTTCCAACGAATAATGCACAAATTAAAAAAAAATATATATGCATTTTATTGATTACATCTATACTTTTTGATAAAAAATTGGAAATTATAAATTATTTACGTTTTACTTAAATTGTATTCACTATGTATAGTTTCATGTGTAAAATCATATTAATAAATTTGTTTATTTTAATCAAATAAATAAGATCAAACAATCATTTCTTTTGTAAAACGTGAATTCGTAAAGTGAGAACAAATTAAAGCTGAATCTAGAGATTCGTGAATCAAGTATTAATTATATACTTTTTGATAAACAATTTGTTTTAAGTAATTAATTTAGAAATTATAAATTATTTACGTTTTACATACATTGTGTTCACTGTTCTGTTTTTGTGCAGTCCTTTTTATGCGATTTTATTTTTGTGCGATTTTTTTTATGCGGTATATAAAATCCAACCAATTCCAACGGCGTCGGCACCATTGTAATGTTTTCTATCAATGTATATATGTATAGCCTGCTTAAACGATTCTGTTAGTCGATTTTGAACCAATTCATCACAAGAAGATGCGCTTTGGATTAACAAGGGTTATGTATGTGCATTTTTGAAAATTTTTGTACAATGAGAAATTAATATGTTTCCATGTGTAATTTAATTATTTATTTTGTTTGGATGCACTTTTTCATGGATTTCGTACATCTTAGACATATTTTTTTATGCGGTCCCTATCCCCCGCATAAAAAAAAATCTGTAATGTATTATACAAAATTATAGGTTATATGTAAGTATTTGTACAAAATTTTTGAGCGATTATTTTTATGCGGTCCCTATCTATCGCGCAAATACAGGTTTTACTGTATATAGTTTCGTATGTAAAATCATATTAATAAACTAGTTTGTTTCAATTAAATAAAAAATAATCTATTAATGTTATTTCAATCATTTCTTCTGTAAAACGTGAATTCGTAAAATGAGAACAAATTGAAGCTGAATCTGGGGATTCGTGAATCAAGTATTAATTACTTTTTAATTGATTATTGGAACGCTGATTATTTTGAGTTCATTACAAATAATGTGAATGTTATGAATTATTCATGTGTAACATTTGACTTGTTTCAACCATACGCGATCAATTCCTGATTTAATATAATGCGAACGTTTCATTAACCATTTACAAAGCATAATTATGTCTAATTATTTTTAACAATGCCAGATAATAAATTTATTAAACGTTAAATAAGATAATTTACATATACACATTACAAATTGGGCGTTTATAAATCAAATACAGTGGAACCTCGCTTAACGAGTTTAATCCGATCCAAAATTTCCGAATTTTTACTCGTACAGTGAAACACATTCAAAAATACACATAATATGTAAACACAAGTTTTAAAATCCGGGACTTCTTTTCTCATCGTCACTCGTTATGCAAAACGTCACTCGTTATGCAAAACGTCGCTCGTTAAGCGAGTCATTTTTCTTACAATTAATTTTGCTCGTTAAGCAAGGTTCCACTGTAATTCAATTATCTTTAAATTTTATATTAATTATTTTATATAATTAAATGAACATAAATATTATTCGTAAAATATTGTAATTTTATCTGATTTTTTTTTCTTATAGGCGATAATTATATTAACGTTTCCTTTCTACATCACATTATTTAGATGTAAATGCCATTCGCTGATATTTATTCCATTGTGTCAGGGTAAATGATATGCAAAAATATGCTTTCTTTGTTTACATATTTCAATCTTCATTTTCTCTACATGGAATAATGATGATTGATCGTGTGCTTTTTATATACTATATTGTATTGTAATTAAGTAATTTATTTCCTAAAGATGTCTGCCAGTAAAAGAAGAATTCTTTGAAGTTTTATAGATGTTTGCATTTATTATGAAATTTAATTTTAATATTAACGACAATTACTGCAATTACTTCAATCAGAAAAGAAATTTTTATGAACTTATTTAAGTACATTTTTGTTTTGTTATGTATCGTAGTATTTCATTTGTTTTTTTTAGTTGAATTTCTTTCAACTATGATTTAAGTAAATTCCTTTTTGTTTGTTTTATTTTATTGCTTGAAAATTTTCAAATTAAAACATATAGGGCATGTGTACGAGTAGACGTAATCGTTGCTAAATACTTTATATTTTTAGCAGTCTACAAATACAAAAACTATGTTGTTATTGGAAAATATATGCTATCACAAAATATGTCTACTATTCGCAATTATACTGATAACTTTCAATAACAACGTTCCAGTTATTGTTTATACATGGAATAATAAGCAAAATTGATTTGCAAATTTTTAGTTTGTTAATATTTTTTTTAATTATGCTTCATTAGAATCATATTGATTTTATAGATTTGGGATTATTAAATAATACTGGTAAATTCTACTGCATGAATTCCCAACATCATTTTTTTAAATTTAGAAAATAGATTTTTAAATGACAAAATAAAATTAACTAGAAAACATTCCCATTTTATAAAAAGCAATATATTTATATAAGAATGTTATCTATTTGAAAATAAAAATAACAAGAAAACCAAATACACGCTTATTTCTATATAAATCTTCAACAAACGAGACAAGCGATAATAGAAAGTGTATCAAAATATACGTATTTGGATATTACGTTGCAATTTTCATTATGATAAGGACAAAGTACTTTTTTTACTCTAATTTAAGATCTAAGAATTTAGTGATAATAAAATTTGTATTTCCGAAAATAAAATTTTAAAACTAATTAAATTTTCTTCTTGAATGAAATATTAATTCCATTAAAATAAATACGTTTTGTGTTTTCTTATTATTTCATCTGTCCTTTAATAATGTTGTTCTTTTTGTCCTGTCCAGATGTTATTTTTATTGTATCCATTGTTACCATGTTACCACTCCTTCCCTTCATAAGAATCTTGCGTCCATCATGTTTTCTTTTCAATTTGTATTTTTTTGTTAGTGCGCACACGTCTCATCTGATTTTCTTTTAATTTTAATGCCACTTTCTACTTTTATCCAATTGCATTTAATCTGCGTGTAGGAAGACTTCGGTGCATGACCTTTTCGTATTAGAATTATTCTCTTATAACTGATTTTACATGTGTTATGCAATATATGTTGATTTCCTTTATTAGTATAATTTGTAAATTAAATGTTTATAACAAAATTGTAAATATTAAGAAGATATTTTGTATTTGCTCAAAAAAAATAATAATGTTATAATGTAGATGTATTTTTTGATGTAATTTCTTAGTAAGGCGATAAATTGTAAAACGAAAACTGTAACACTATGCATGAAAAGACATGAAAATACTTCACTGGAAACTGACAGCTTCGCAATAGTGATTATAACTATCAATTTAAGTTACATTAAGAAGATATTTGATATTTGCTCTTAATATTTAGATAAATATGTAACTTTTTAGTTTCAAACATAATTAATAATTTTATAATGTACAGGTATTTCTTGATGTAATTTTTTCGTAACTCGATATTTCGTAAAACAAAAACTGTCACACTATGCTTGAAAACACACACAAATATCTGTCAAAATGATCAACTACATTGACAACTGACAGCTGCGCTATAGTGATTACAACTGTCAATTTTAGTTACATTAAGAAGATATTTTGTATTTGATTTTAATATTTAGATAAATATGTAACTTTTTAGTTTTAAAAATAATTAATAATTTTATAATGTACAGGTATTTCTTGATGTATTTTTTTTCGTAACGTGATAATTCGTAAAACGAAAACTGTCACACCATGCAAGAAAAGACACAAAAATATCTGTCAAAATGATCAACTACACTGACAACTGACAGTTGCGCTATAGTGATTACAACTGTCAATTATAGTTACATCAAATTTAAGAAATAATTTTATAATGTACAGGTATTACTTGATGTATATTTTCGTAACGTGATAATTCGTAAAACGAATGTCACACCATGCAAGAAAAGACACAAAAATATCTGTCAAAATGATCAACTACACTGACAATTGACAGCTGCGCTATAGTAATTACAACTGTCAGTGTTAGTTACATTAGTGACAATCAATATTTCTTAGTACTTCTGATAAAAATAAACAATGATATTCATTAATAAAAACACAAAACATTTGTTTGGTCCAATATTATTTTACTATATTTCTTTAAATTACTTTAATATTCCTTTGCTTCCTGTGCTATATTTACAATAGCTTTAGAATATATTTGAAATTGTCATATGAAATCTTGAATGTTGGAAGTATTCGTTTATAAGATTCAATTTTGTAGAACTTGCAACATCGATTAAGAGTTTCATTTAAATTTAGTTATCTTTGAATGCAAAAGGTGCGCACGAAATGTGAAATACAGTGAAATCTAAGTAGAACAAAAAAAAAGCGGAGAAAGAAAGAATTAATTTATTATACGTTTGTTGCGAGAAAATTTCAATTCAGTTCTTGCAACGTCGATTATGCGTTTCACTGAAACTTCAGTCCCGTCAATTAGCGGATAATACGAAAAGTTTTGGATTCATGAAGCATAATGGAACACATTCAAATCGAGTTCATTATTATTTTTTTAATCCGCTGCACAATAGACGATGACAAGGGCACTGTACGACTACAATTATTTTGAACTCGAAAAAAAAACTCTAAATTAATCGTTTAATCTTTGGAGTGGGCAAGCTCTTAATACACTTTTTCCACGCAGTCGACCATCATTAATCCTCCGCTGTTTTGCGACGCTCGGGTCTTTTTGTTGTTGTTGATGTTGTTGCTGTTTTGTCTTTGGAAAGCGCACTTAATATACTTCCTCGGCATTTGCCGTAGGAAAGAATATTTTTTTTAGGTAGGTTGTGGTTGTACTTACATCGCTCATGTCTCCAACATCCAGGTTTTTCGTATCCGGGCCCGGGCCGTTGGAGTCGGCCGCGGGACCGGTGACTGGTGTCCACGGTGAGGAAATTGTGACGGCCCCGAACAAACCCTATCTGCAAAAACAAAAGAAAACAATGATCAATCAAAATGCGAATAGTAGTAGTCGTTATATCATAGGGTTGTAAATGTAAACAAATGCAGGTGGACGGTCGGTCGGCTTGGAAAGGAAAATTGTTTGGGTGGTTGTGCAGGAGGTGGAGGCGGCAGCAGCAGCAGCGTTTCGGACCCCGTAGTAATGTCGCATGTGCTGGGGCAGTTTCCGCGGCCCGGGGGGTTGTAAATTCACCTCATAATGACGGGGCTGACGGCTCGGAATGCGGCCCTTAATATCATATGCAGCAGCAGAACACAACAAAGAACACACACATACACACGTATACACACACACACACAACAGGGACAGAGTCAGGGGGTGCGAGCGAGGAGCGCAATCCAACCCTAATGTGAAACAGACAGAGAGATCACGGAGGCCACCCCCTACCCCCAAAAAGAACCCTGCCTACTCCCCCCGTTCGGCACACAGAGAAAAATCATGAAAAAAAAACTCTCGCTTTTATATCCGTTTTAATACACACCGCATCGTAGTAATAAAACGCTTTATTCTTCTCTGCTTCTATTTTTTTGTTGTTGGTACTCTTTGTCTCGACCCCCGTTTTATCCGCATTTAATTTAAACATTTTTTGTTGTTACTGTCAAAAATAGTATTTCTAATGTCATAAACACGCCACTTCCAACCTCCAAATGTTATCAGATTTCAAATGTCATTTCAAAACTTCATTGAATTATTGTCATTACCAAATGTCATAACCATATTATCAACTGCCAAATAATATCCATAATGATTTTGCTATATTTACTAATCATAAATATGGAATTATCATTATTTTAGTTTGGGATTAAAATGTTATAAATACTGTTTTTAAATATTGAGAATTAACTTACAGAGATTATAGGAATATATAATATTTGTTTTGTTATGTTGTTGAAAAAGAGAATATAGAATGTCATAAATACTGTATTTTCAAACTGGTAAGGATTATTATCGGAAACTGTTTACATGGCGTCAGCGGTTTTGAACAGGTCTGTACTTCTTCAAGTACCTGAATATCGTATGAATGGAATACTCCAATACTTCCCAGTAGTCACCACTTCCCACCTTGAGAATTCTTAAAAATTACGTGTATCTCTCAATCTGACATTAACATCAAATCAAACGTAATTATAAAAGTCATCAATCAAAATCGGAAGTAAAGTAGTAAAAAAAAACAAGAGTAGGTTCGAAAAATGAATACAAATTGTATACAATTAAAACAAATGAATACAGTAATTCAATGATACTTTGTACTTAATTAGTTTTCCTAATTGAAATTGTACAATTAATTTATACTGATATTACTATTCACAAATCATAATTATTGTTTATTAAAAGCCAATATATTAATTGACAGTTACTTATCTGCCAAAATATTGACATCTTCATTTGAAATTTGTACAATTTTAAATATTTTAAATAATAATTTTATTATTAAAAAAAAACTTTCATCAAGGGTAGAAATATTTTTTCAAAAATTCAAATTTTTCTAGAACCTTTTTCGCACTGAAATTCTACATAATTGGGTGTAACTTTCTCACAGCAAAAAAAAAATCAGCGATTCGGTCATTTTTGAATAATTGGTAGTTTCATGGTCGGTGGCCAGAAAAGGTCATTTTCTTCTCCTCATTAGTAAGATAATCTTTTGTAAAGAAACTGTCACTTATATTAATGCCTCTGCGGCAACGTCGTTTGAATCTCTCTAGGAACATGTGATTCTTTACAAAAAAAAAAGAAAATTTAATTACACGATTTTTCGTGTATTATGAAAGAAAATTCATTAATGTAATAATATTTATATTAATTAACGTAATAATAATATAAAACAATATTATAAATGTTTTGTTGATATTATAGATATAAAATATTTACATCTTTCCTATTAAAAAACTTACATGTATTCAGAAATGATGATGAAATTTTTTTATAGATTTATTTTATATTCAAAATATTTATATTTAATGTGGAAATATTAAAATTACGAATTTAAATTACCTTTTGGTAGGTAAATATTTTGATAATATCTGTAGCGAAAAGTTTAAAAAAAAATTATATATAATTGAAGAATATTGAACCTTGTTTATAATTAAACTTAAATAGTAAACAACAATCCAATCATGTAATTATTTATAATAATCATTAAGTTTCTTGTTGAACAAAAATCAGGTTAGTAGAAGTAAAATATGTTTAGGTTCAATGCACATTTTCCAATTAAAGTCATAGCGAATATTATGAAATTATTCATGCCAGGGTCAAGCAATTTAGATTATGATGGAATTTTCGAACATTTGCAATGCGAATGCCAACAATATCTCGGATTATTGACATTTCCAACTTTGCGAATGGAGTCAATTGCAAATTGGCACAAATGATGTTTCTATTTTTTTATTGCAATTAGTTCGTTGCTAATGCAATTGCAATTACAGCAAGATATTTGAAACTTATGGTAACGTTGGGTAACAAAGTTTTCGAATGAAAAAAAAAAGAAATCAATTGTAAGGAAATAAGCCGGATTAGAGTAGATTTTGGTCCTATTCAACAATGGTCCTATTTTGAAGTGAAAGAATTATGATGGTGAGTCATAGGTACCTGACCACCCATTTAGTAAACCAATCTCAAAATCTATAGAGATAAGAAAGTTATCCTCAAATTGTGTAATACTCGATTTTAATAGGTTACACAAAAAAAAAACGTCAAACACGATTAATTAAATGAAAACCAAAAAGCTGGAAAACCTTTTAGTTTAATGAATTATTCATGAAATTAGTATAGTTTATGATGAGACAAATTGGAAATTATTAATAATAATTAATTTTTGTATTAAACCAATAAGTTAAACAATATCAGCGTTTGAAATAGTTTTAGCTGCGGTGATCTTTGATCTTCGTTTGTAACGTGTAATGAATGAAACACAAGTAGAAACCGTTAAAAGTTAACGAAACAGTTATAGAAAATACAAGCTGAATGGAATCACAATCGTGGGTATTTAAATGTAGCACATTTTGAAAATATATTTTTTTTTTACAAAAATATATAAAATTTGTATTATTAATATGTTGCACGAGATGGCGTCTCTTTATTGCAAAAATAATATGAATTTTAATGAAATATGGTTTATTAATGCATGACATTCTATTGTATTCAGTTTAAGTACGTTGTTGTAATACAAATTTGATTAAATTTCCAGTCATAAATTATATTTTATAAATTTTATTTTAGGTGCTTTATTTCGTAATTGGCTATTGGCAATAGCTTTGTCCCCTATGAATGTGTATTAAAACTTGTTACTTGATGGATTTATTTGCTAATTTCATGTAAATTGAAGTATTTTGGATTAAAGTTTGAAGAATGTACTGGGATTAGATTTTGGAAGATAATAAAATTTGTATTTATTTTTTGTAAATAAATTAGATGATAATTGCTGTGTAACAGATTGCGGTGGATTAGTTCAAAGACCTTAAATTTCGGAATTCAATTAGACGCTAATCCTCGTGCCCGGAGTAATACCAAAAGTCGGTGATAAATGGAACGTCGCATGAATTATGTATGATAGAAGTCAGAAAAGAATAAAGGAACGAAAAGTAAAGAGAAATAAATAAATAATCGTAAAGATTTGAAATTTAATTTTCGCCTATTCATAAATGAAATTTCGTATGCAAATCGTGATTATCTTACTTCATGGAATGGGGTGATGCGATGTTACGGCGTGAGAGGAGGGCGATGAGGGAATTTATTTGTTTGCTAGGGCAGGAGGCACGAAAGCAGCTAGAAGAGAGGGGTGGCTGCGGTGGTGGGTTTCCGAGCCCTATGAAGGGCAAGAGTGTGTTGGGTCGGCATTAAAGGCGGCCGTGTGTGTGATATGATATAGTGAGGATGACCTCTCTTCCTACACCCGTCGCCGCCCTTTCATCCCTTCATATGTGTGTGTGTGTCTCTCCTCTGTCCCCCCTCGCTCTCATAGCCAGTTATTAACGGCCGCCAGTTATTAAAGCATCCCTTTGTTATGGTGGAAATTGTGGCCGTCACCGCCGCCTCCGCCCTTCGCCCTTTCCGCGGGAGGAGCACATTGTCTATGCCGATGTATGAATTCGTGTACACCTCCTACATATGATCCCATGGTGTACGTAGGTGAGAACAATGGGAGGCCCCTCGCTCTGCCCCGCCGACGAACGGCGCAACGTACAATTACCGAAGCGCCCACCGAAATATCACGTATTCACACGCGCTTTTACGTAACGAGAATTTTTAAAATGCGATGATACTTATAGACATGATTTAATTTACTAATTCGAACCGCTTTACACGGAAAACACAACTGCGTTGCAACAGCATGCGATTGCCTCTAATCCAGCGCTTCCCAAAAGTGTCAGGATTAAAATCAATGATCGATACTCATAAGCCTCTCCCCCATCATCCTTAATTTCTTTATGTCACCCTTCCTTCAACCTTATTAAAAAAGTGAATGGTCCGAATCAACCCCTATTAATAACACAGAACTACCAACTGCCGCTCGAAATCATTGACTCGCCTATAAATATTTACCATACATAATTTAACCTGCACCAAAATTAATTAAACGTTATTAATATTCATTTTTGAATCAATTATAATCAGATTAATCGTTTATTTTGTTGTTACTTGAAGAGTCTTTCATTTTGTTATAATTTTATATGTTGACAATCTACGTTTTTTTTCTTCATTACTTATCTCTTGAATAGGCAAGAAATGAAGAGAAAATATCGTAAAATATTATAAGTTAATGAATTGCATGAAAATGCAAAAACAATATAATTTATTTTTTCTTAAACGATAGATGGCGACACAACTTATTTTGTTAATTTTTATAATTTGTTGCAAAATAATAAATTGCATTTATTAGTTAAACTTTAATCAAATTTAGTGGATTGGGTTTAATTCTTTTGTTATGAATGGAACGGCTTTACACGTTTCTATTTCAGCGAT